TCATATAAATTAAAAATATATAATAAGTTTTAAAAAATTAGAGCCGCTAAGTTGTAGTAAATTAGTTAAACTACAAACCAGCGGCCCATTTTTTTTGACATTATTTTTATATTAAATACTATTAGCTTTTAAAGTTTGGGAAGCCTTTAGATGTCCCGCACTGTACCGTCTTTAAGGTTTCGTAAGTGTTTTAGGTGGCCTTCATTTTTAAACATTGTCCTTTAATATTTTCCACACATTTTCTATTGGATTTAAGTCAGGCGATTGGTAAATTATGCATTTGCATGAATTTATGTTACGTTTTTTGTGTAACTATTTTATACTTTCGGTACGTATGTGCGTACGTTAACTCACATCAGCCAATCAGACTAATGTCGCACTATAACATCTGCAACATATATATCGGGATATTGGGGATATTTGTTTCTACTTTACAAAAATTCAAAGATGCCAAGTCATCAACTGAGTATTAATAGGTTTGAACAAAACATAGTGTATCTTGATGATTATTTAGATACACTAGAGTCGTTACCCGTAGAGATGCAACGTAGTTTCACTCTAATGCAACAGCTCGACGCAAAAGCTCAAGAAGAGATCGATAATGTCGCTAAACAATGCGAGCAGCTAGTGCAACGAATAGGAGAGTTTTCACCCGAAGAAAGAACGGAACAACTTAAAAAATTCAGTAAAAGTTTGTCTGCAGCTGGAAAATATGCAGAAGAAAGGGTATCTCTTGCTACTTCAACATATGACACCGTCGATCGTCATATCAGAAGACTTGACGATGACCTTCAAAAATTTGAAGATGAACAAATGACGGGTCCGGGAAGAATAAACACCACTGCAACAGCCAGCTCGTCTCGTGAAGAAAACACACGGAAACAACTTCAAAAGACTGAAAAAGAAAGGAAGGAAGTTAAGGGTGAAAAAAGAGCACAACATAACGGTGAGACATCGGCCACTAAAAAACGCAAAACTACAAAGAATGACGTTGGAACTCCACCACCTTCAAATTCTAGACATCAAGTGGAAAAAGAACGTGAGAAAACAGCTAAGACTTCGAGAAAAAGAGAAAACGGCAAAAATAATAGGTCTAAAGTTGCAGATAAAACGTCAGTAAATGAAGATTCACAAGCGATGGCGGATATGCCGATTGATCCAAACGAGCCACTTTATTGTTATTGTAAGCAAGTTAGTTATGGAGAGATGGTCGCATGTGATAATAGCGAGTGTGAGATTGAGTGGTTTCATTTCTCATGCGTCGGTCTCTCAGATCGTCCTAAAGGGAAGTGGTATTGTACAGAGTGCTCAGAGAAGGTGAAAAATCGACACCACAGGAAATAATTATTAATTGACTTTGTGAAAATAGCATAGAACTTAATTAGCGATTGTAGTCGATTAAAAACATATAAGCTTAGCCGAGCCAATGATTTTGATACGGCTAAACCGGCTTAGTCGGTTATCTCAAAATAAATGCAAAAATAAACTGAAATTCCCGTTAGCCATGCACACATTTTTTATTACATAAAAGATAATACGTCGTTGTATAAATGTTTCCGAAGTATATATAAATATAAATAAAATAAAAGAACGATTAACTTCGTTGCGTAGCGTTTATGAAGTATAAAAAGAAAAAGCAATACTCTCAAAAGTGATAGCAGGTTTCGCATAAAATTACCAGGTATGTAAACTTTAGGTTGTCCCTGTGATCTACCCCAGTATCGCCATAAAAAACGTCGCCCCACGTGATCTGTGTTACATATGGGATTGAAGATCATATTTAATAAATTCGAAGTTTTTTAAAATTTCTAGCGATGTTTTCTCAATAATTACTTAATCAAATTTGGAAATTTTTTTTTTATTTTAATTCTATAATTTTGTAGAATTAAAAAAAAAAAAAAATCATAGATTTTGGTTTAATAGTTGTTGAAAAAACATCACTAAAAGTTTTAAAAACAATCAAATCAAATTGCTGTAATGTTATTGCTTTTATATGCTTAAAACTTTCATTATTATATATCAATACAAATTTTTGTTAAGCTGAAATTCCAAGTAATCTTATAAAGTGAGGAATTTGTATAGTTGTTTTTTGTAAATTTTAGGAACAAATTATTTAAAATTATATGTAATATATTATAAAAGCCAAATTCTATTGAAATAAACCTTTTAAATATATAACTTAAATATATTAATTAAAAAAAATTGTTTTTAATTAAATTAATATCCTTTTTTTTTTGTCAAGACGTAGTCTAAACTTTATTTTTGGTCAAATCAAATAAGTATTTAATAAATAAAATAGTAATGTACTATAAGCTTTAATACTATAAGCATTATTATATGTTAATAGTATAATTGTAATAGTTCTATAAATTAAAAAATGTAATTAAGTTTTGAATAATATATAAAAAATATATAGATAGTGAATTTAGAAACAATTTTTAAGAAAAATAACACCTTTGACTTACTTTTAGCTAATAATTAAACATGTAGATATTATAATATTCTATAAAATTAATTATAAATTCAAAGTAAGTTTAAAAGATTATTTTTGTAAAAACTTACTTTATAATAAATTTTAATGATAAATAATTCTTAATCATAATTAGCTAATTATAGGATCAAACCAAATCGGTCAATCGAATATGATCAAAAGCCCACGAAGATATACTATTAAAATAAAAACAAAGAATAACAAGATAAAAAAAATATGATTTAGTAAAATAACTTAAATAAATAAATTAATATGTAAATAGCTATTATACTTATTAATTAATAAATAAAATACTTTGTTTATTCATATACTATATATAAATTTTATAAAATTAAATCTTAAAATTTATCAACCAACCTAGTATTAGAAAAGTTTAATATCTAAACTCACTAAGCATTTTAATCTTTAAATATATTTTGTGTTAAATAAATTATTTCATAGACCAAACCATTTGATTTAAAATTCAAGCTAAATTTATAGCTATATTATGTCTTTTCTTAATATCCAAAGTGTTTGATTTAAAGCAATGATTATTATTAAATATACATTTAGAATATAAATAAATTAAACAAAAATAAATAGTTATTTCCAGTTCAGGTTGCTTCACCAACAGTCATTTTGTAGACATAATATTTCACTGACAAAAATTCACCAACAATTATTTCACCGACAAGGTTATTTCACCACAAGTTTATTTCACCAACAGTTTATTTCACTGAAGCTCATTTCACTGACAAAATAATTCTGGTCATTGTTGTTAAGGTTAGATTAGAATTAGAGTTAAGATTGGTGGAATTTATAAAAAAAAGCTTGTATTTGAAATGAGCTTCGGTGAAATAAACTGTCAGTGAAATAAACTTGTTAGTGGAATAAACTTGTCAGTGAAATAATTGTTGGTGACTTATTGTTGGTGAAATATTATGTCTACGAAATAACTGTTGGTAAAGTAATACGTATCCGTTATTTCATTATAATATTCAATTGTGAAGTTAATAAGTAAATAATGTACTGTACTATAAAATTAATTTAAAAACAAATATTAATTAATATTCAATAAATAATCATTATATATACTCACTTATCACAACAAATAAGTAAAATTAAAATTTAAAGATCTAATACAAAAATAAATATAAATAAAATGTATATAATATAAAAGTTACTAATTATATAAAAAATGCAATATTCAATAATTTGAGTTTATTAATATCATTCAAAGCATATATTTAAAGTATGCATATATTATATTATGCTTTACATCTAATTAAAAAATAAAGTATTATATGAATGATTTTTGAATATTTGAGACATTGTTTTCCTTTGCTTGTATGAAGTAATTTCATCAACTATTTTTCTATTGGCTTAAATTTTTTCAATATTTTTAACTTATCTAAAATTGTTTTTGCTCTTTTGATCCTCAAGAATTTCAAGTATTTTTTTTGTTACATTTAAAAGTCAAATATACAATTCATCAGAGTTTTGCATATCTAATTTATCAAAATTTTGTATATCTAATTCATCAGAATTTTGCATATCTTCAGTATTTTCATTTGATATATTATAAAAAATAAATTGCTTAATATTACTAGCTTGTATATCTGAAGTACTAAGAAATAGATATTGATGATAACGATGTACTTGATCAAAATATTCAGCTGATATAGTTCCTTTTTGTAAAACAAGATGTTTATAAATAAGGAAACAGCTAGTCAAAAAAGATAGATATCTACATACCCAATTTAAGATATTAGTAAAATAAGTATCTTGAATTACACAAGTTTTTAATTTTCTCTATTCTCTTTTAAATACTTTATGCCAATCAGCTTTTTCAATACTAGTTAAAACTTGTTGAAGTTTTCTTTTTTGATATGTAACTACTTGTATCATGATAATAAAAACTACAAGATCTAATTGTGAATGTAAAAATTTATACAAAAAATCACATTTCAGCACTTTTCAGTATGACTCAACAAACATATTTGTTTTAAAAATTGAAATTTTTGTATTATAACCTGCATGTAGCCATAAAATCCAATAGCCAGAACTGTACCATTCATTTCATAAGTATATCTAGAGAAATATTAATGAATGTTGCTTGCAAAAATTATAAATTTCCTGTACAGCCATCATCCAAATTTCTTGTGCTGTTAAATATTGTTTATATTAAAGGATGTATATATAAATGCTAATTCATCATTTCTCATACAGCACTATGAAATTGCTTGGGGCAAAAAATATAATTCGTTATATTAAGTTGTGAATGAAACTCAGGATCAATAAAAGGAAATTGATTATGTGCTACTTGACTACTATAATTAATTTGCTTGAGTTTAATATTATTTAAAAGCCTAGTTTCTACAGCGCTCTTAATATGCCAAAGGCATATTTGAATCTTATCATTTTTTCAAACAAATCTTGCAGCTGATGTTTGTGAAAAATCTTTGTCTGTCAAAAAAAATTTAGGATTAAGCCCAACTATATATAATTTATTAAAAAAGTCAATTAAAATACCAGTACGAATTTCATGATTACAATTTTCATTGTTTTCAAGAAATAAATAAATTAATGGATATCTACTCACATCAATTTGAATATAAATAACGAATAATTCAAATCTTAGATTATTTGTATTAACTACATTAATAAATGTCGCGGCTGATGCTGGAAACAGCTGAAGCTGGAAATCAGGGACCCTGATTTAAAAATATAAACCCTGCCAAAA